CATGGTCAGAGGTCCAAGATCATTTTTGATGCTATACAATATTAATCAGTGAGATACTCAATTCAAGCATTGAAAATTTTGACTATACCGTGCCAATGCTGGTCAAAACTCAGAGTTTTTATTTTCAATAATGGCTATCATCTTCTTTGCTTTCACTTGAGCATCAGGTTTGCCTGTAATAAGCTGACTTTCAGATCTTGCTGAATCATTTGCAATAAGAGCTTGCAGATCAAAGCAGAGCTTGGAAAGACGCTGATAGGCAAGGTAATGCACAATCCATTGTGTGATCACAGCACGGAGAACCAAAAGCAATGACTTTCCAATTACCTTCTGGATCTCTCAAATCAGAGCAAAGACAAATGTCTTGCTCCAAAGCCATGTAATGAGAGCATCAGCAAGATCAACTGTTCTGCTAAGAAAAGATGCACCACACTTCTTTAGATAATCTTCAACAATGAGATTGACCTGATGAGCATAGCAGAGAAATACAAAGAGTTCAGACATTTCCTTTGCAATTCATTGATGTGCAGCTAGAGATTCACCACTGTTGTCTGTGATGAACGCTGCCATTCACACATTCCAGTGATCTTGTAGATCAGCAAAAACTGTGCGAGTGTAGACCAAAAGATTTTCTGCAGTCTTTTACTCTACAAATGTATCAATCAGCTGGACAGAATATGACTATCAAAAGTATTAGCCTAATTATAAAACTAAACAGTGCACATATCTGTTGTAGTGCTGTAGTTTTGAATGCTTGAAAGTGGTGGTGGTTTCCTCTGCTCCAGCTATCAGTGTGCACACTGACAACCTGTCCTTGGATTTTGCTTCTAACTTTGCTCTCCATAACATTGAGTGCACCAAGAATAATGCAATCAGTGAGCACTTTGCATGAAAATGGCTCAGCACCTAGTACAAATTCAGTGAGGAACTGTTTCCACTCTGAATGCTCCACCCAGCTATAGAGCAAATTGGCGCCAGCTATAAGATGAGCAAGGATAGTTTTAAATCTTTCTTGTCACTCTGATGTCCATAAATGGCCAGCAGGTGTTGCGGAAGAAATATGCAAAGATGCGAAAAGATAATAATAAGAGCTCGAGTGGTGAATTTGCTTTTGGCCAAGAGGGAGAAAAGTAGGCGGAAAAGGAGCTGATGCTGATTCAAATGTAGAGATATATAATGGTGCACTAGATGGCAAGCTACGAAGCCCACTAAAATCACCAACAATGGGTGAAGGAGTTGGCACTAATTTACAGCAAGCTTGCATGAGAAAATGTCACACTGCAATGATCAGAACCAATACACTCACTGAGACTGGTTGATGACACCAAACAAGACCAATCTTCAATGGCCAATACTGGCTGAGGTATATGAACAAGCTGTGGCATTGCAATAGATGGAAAGAGAAAGCCTCCTGCACCAAAGGCATTATCTAGTGCACTGTCAAACGCCACAGGCACAATGGAAAGCTGAACTGATGACGTTGATGCCAAGGCTGGCAACATAATGATCAGATGTGCTTGGGCACCTGCAGCAATCTGTGATCTGCCGTGGCCAGCATGAGAATTTTCTAGTTCTGCTTTTGCTCAAGATTTGATATTTTGATCCAAATCTTAACACGGACAGTGTGCCAGATGCGCAAGTAACAAGTTCTTTGCCAAAGCAATCCACAGGTGCTTCAGCCAAGTAATAGTTGTCTTGGACTACACTACCATTATAAGCACTATATTAGCTTGGAAATATAAGAGACTGATTGATATGCACTTGCTTCCACAATCTAACTCTCTGACCATGCACTGTTTGGGTGCCGCTGCCCATCATTGATCTCCGCCTGGTCCTGCTGCATTTGGATGCAAAGTTCTTGGTTGTAACATGTGCAGCACCACATTTTCCATTTGCCACTTTGCGCAGCCGGATTTGCTTTAACGGTTTTGTGTTTCTGCGCCTAGAGCAGATGGTCTACAAAGTAGGCTTGCCACCAGCCGGTGCGCGTGGTATGCTGTATATTGTTAGCCATGGTATAATAAGTGAATTAGTAGTGATTGGTGTCTCTACTAATATAACTTGCAGTGGAGAGCAGACAGATGGGTAGGATGAAGAATAGATTATATTTTACAGCTGCAAACCCTCCCAGCTCAAGCCTCACCTCATTCGCACCATTTATCAATAGCAGCGCGAGTGCCTGCGCTTCTCGTAGGTGCTACCCTCAGCCACAGGACCCAGAAACCACTTGGTCACTAACTGTGACTTTATGACTAGTCATATTTAGTCACTGACCAGACAACACTGGTACTGTCTCCTTGCTCATGCAGTATAAACACTACTAGAAGCATGCCTGGTCACAAATGAGTGGAGCACAGGTTCAAAAAGATGCCAGCCACTTTGTGGCATGGCTTCAGAGGCCATCTCTCCAAATTATGACATGATTGCAGACACCAGCTTCACTCCTATAAGCTTTGCACTGTTTGACTAAACAGGCAGTTTAAATACTTGTAAACTTGTAAACTTGTATTTGATTGCTGGTACAAATGAAACTATAAATCTGAATCTTGATCTTTGGAATAAATTTTCATGCTATAATCTATCATGGTGGTATCTGTATGCTATATCTAGCAGACATATCATTGATACTGTACACATAGTTTATACTCTGCTATATCAATATATGTAGTATTTGCATGACTTTATCAATCAGCTAAGAAAATTTGTTATATTCTCTTCAACTTACTTTTTCTATGATCTCAATCTAACCAAGTCTAGCCAGCTATTATCGTAGAAACTGACTGATGATTGTGAATTACCTGAGTTTATGATTGGTGGAGGTCCAAGTACTGTACAGTCCAAACAAAAGTGAACAGCTGAGGAGTTATTGGAATTTGATCCTACAGCTAATGTGATGTAAGGCAAGACTTATCATATTGCTGGTTATATACAGGTTTCAAATAAAAATATTTTCTCTAATATTACTACAGCTGCTATTCTGTTATCAGCTCTTTATAAAAGAGCTACAAATCACATGCTTATTACAATTGGCCAGAAGCATAGTGCAATTTATAGCAAGATGCATGTTGAAAGAGCATCTATTATAGCTAAGCTAACTCAGCATAAATGTACACATTGTCCAGAGTTTCCAACTGTATATGAGCTAAATAAAGACACTAAGTCACATGTCCAAAGAAGTAAGGCATATTACCAGTCTCATTCTACTAAAATACAATAGAAAAAGCTTACACAATATCATGAAGAAAAGACAGGCAATAAAGACTATAAAGTTCAAAGGAAGAACTATGATCAGACCAGATATAAGACCTTATAATTTCCACCAAGGCCTCCAACAAATGATCTGATTACTGAGATTGTCAATGGCTTCTGTGAGCAAACATCCTTTGTAAACCTTGAAAAATATGGTTGTGCTGTATGTGGTGCTTTAAAGTTAGTCAAAGAGTTAACTTTACTTCAAGATATTGATCAGAGCTTGCTATTCCACTTACAACTTCCTAGTATAACTCATTGTGAGAGACACTCTACAAAGCAACCAGTTGTAGATATATCTGGTTTTGTACTTGATAAGAGCTGTAAGCATATATGCTCAAAGTGCCATGATAGCTTGCAAGAACAAAGAAATCCTCACATAGCCTTAGCTAATGGTCTTTGGATTGGTCAAGTTCCACTGCAACTACAAGGCTTATCATGGACTGAGCAGCTGCTTATAGCCAAGGTGATCAAAAACTATTGTGTTGTAAGAGTATCCAAGTCAAAAATGCATAAAATGCGAGCAAATGCTGTATGCCATGCTGTATCTATGCTC